ATCGACCAACTTCGGGCTGAGATGGACGAGGTCAAGGCCGCGACCGAGTCTTGGAGAGGTAGGATGGACATGCTGGCTTCGGAAAAAGAGGCTACAAAAGAGGAGCTGGCATCGATCAGGGACCATCTACGGGTGGAAAAGGACAAGGCCGACAATTGGTCTCGGTTAAATGATGAACTCCGGGCACAATTGAACTCTGTCGTCACGGAACGGGATGCACTCGACCAAGAATATACTACGCTGAGGTCCAAATTGGAGGCAACTTTGAGTGATTCCTCCAATGTCGAGGAAATGCTAGCCCAATATAAGGCTAATGTGAAGATAGCTGAGGCCTGCTTGATGACGAAGACCGAGTATGTAAAGCGGCTATCCCGAAGAGAGACCTTCGAGGAGATTCACACCAGAGGGTTTGACCTGTCGGTCGAGATCGAAGAATCCAAGAGGCTCGAGGTCAAGGCAAAGAAATTTTATGAGCCCGAAGGTCCCGAAGGCTCTGACGGTCCTGGTGGTTCCGGTGTGGAGTCGAGCCCTAGAGAAGATTAGGCATAAGTGCCTTAATTCTTTTTTAATTTTCTTCGTACATTTTCGTTCTTGCTTGTTTTGAGGCCATTTTACCGTGCCTTTGTTAATATTATTTTTAAAATATATAAAAATTTTCCCTTTGGAAATACCATGTTTTTACTTTTCAACATCTCTTTGCAATTTTTTATTTGTGTATCATTCTTAATGCCTTAGCATGGAATCAAATGTAATCTAGAGTATCCATTCTTTAGAGTCCCGAGTGGGGCCCGATTTCAATGGAAACTCCGGATTACTCGTGGCTTCGAGATTTTGATAAAATTGAAGGCCTTTAATATGCTTAAGTGTCTTAGTCATATACGGTGATGTTTTTGCCGAGGGTAACCTTTTAATAGGTTTTGATAATACGTAAGGGCCTTACTTTCTAAGTACGGACTTCGTACGTCTCCGAGCCATTTTTAGGGTGGTCGTAACCTTTCGCATTCGGGCACTGCCTAATAGGCTTAGTGCTTCTAGGATTTTATAGCCCGGGCCGTCCGAATTTTTCATCGGATGACAGTTCCCGAGTAGAGCTAGCCCGTGGGCTTTAGGATCTGGGATTCGTTGTGAAGCATCGAATAATCAAAATGTGTAGTAAAAAAATATAAGGGAGGCAGAAAAATCTTTGTTTATTTTATATGTAGGGTATATAATCTGAGGCGCGTAAGCCTTGTGCCATGGCTAGAGTGGGCTACATGGGCATGGTTTGCATAATCGTTTGACCCTTACAATGAATCCTAACCACCAAGCCTTGATTTTTGACATATAGAAATTCCCCTTGCTAAGGACCTTAACCTAGGGGCAATGGAACCAGTATTCGAGGCTGAACTTGTGAGGGCTAGGATACTGTTGATTTGGAGCAAACGATCATAAATTCTAGTTTAAGGCCGGTCTTCAAAACTAAGGTAGCACATTTTACCCCTTCCTCGTTAAAACCTTTCCGAAAAAACCGCTTCTAGACAAAATCGGTTCAAGGAAAAAAGAGTACAACACGTGCTGTCAGACCTAATAGTCATATTTGTCCCTAGTCGAGTACATGTATATGTTAGTCCGTAATATAATTAAATTAAAAAGGAATTAAGTTCGTACCTTAGCAGTAGTACCACTTTAAGTGTGCCACGTTCCAGTTGTTTGGTAGTTGTACATCATTTCCCGATTTGAGTTTATACAAGCCTTTGTCGATTATTCCGATGACACTATACGGTCCTTCCCAATTCGGGCCCAGTTTCCCTTCGTTTGGGTTTCTGGTGTGTAGTGTTAACTTTCTCAATACCAAGTCCCCGACTTGAAAATATCGGAGGTTGGATCTTCGGTTGTAGTACCTCCCTCCTTGTTGCTTCTGGGCGGCCAATCGGACCAGGGCGATTTCCCGTTTTTCATCCAATAATTTCAGGCTTGTGGTCATAGCCTCGCCGTTTGACTCTTCGATAGCATACAAGAATCTGAGGCTCGGTTCCCCTACCGCGACTGGTATTAAGGCTTACGCTATGTAGACTAGAGACAACGGGGTCGCCCCGGTACTCGACTTTGAAGTCGTACGGTATGCCCACAAGACTTCGGGCAAGATTTCCTTCTACTTTCCTTTTGAACCGGTCAATCTCTTTTTCAAGTTTTGGAGTATAGTTTTGTTCGTCGATTCCGCTTGCCCATTCCCACTAGGGTGGTAAGGCATTGATAATATCTTCTTGATCTTGTGTTCTTCGAAAAACTTACCTACCTTGCTGTCGATGAATTGTTTTTCCTTGTCGCAAACGATCTCGGCCGGTATCCCAAATCGGTAGTTTATGCGATCCCAGATAAAGTCGATGGCTTCTTTCTCTTGGACCTTCTCGAACGTCTGGGCCTCGACCCATTTGGAAAAATAATCGATCATGAATAATATGTATTAGACTTTACCGGGTGACCATGGTAGGGGGGCGACGATGTCCATTCCCCACTTCATAAACGGCCATGATGAAAGGACTAGGTGGAGCATCTTTCCTGGTTGATGCATCATCGGGGCGTGTCTTTGGCACTCGTCGTATTTTCGCACGAAGTCTTTTGCTTCCTTCTCCATTTCATTCCAGTAGTAGCCGACTCTGATTAGCTTTCGAACCAAGGATTCTTCCCCCGAATGGTTCCCGCAAGTGCCTTCGTGGACTTCTCTCATGGCGTATTCGGTCTCTCCCTGACCTAAGCATCTAGCCAATGGGTAGAAGAAGGATCTCCTGAACAATGCCCCTTTGACTAAGCTAAATTTGGCAGCTTTGGTGCGCAGGGCTCTCGATTCCTTAGGATCTGATGGCAATTTTCCTTTATTCAAGTAGTAAATGTATTTGTTTTTCCAATCCCAAGTCAAACTTGTCGAGTTTACTTCGGCGTGACCTTCTTCTACCACCGAATTCATCAGTTACACTACTGCCCCCGAGCTAAATTCATCGGAGTGGACAGACAATCCCAAGTTGGCCAGTGCATCGGCCTTGCTGTTTTGATCTCGAGGTATATGTTGCAGAGTCTATTCCTTGATTTGGTGTAGGGTTACCTGCAATTTGTCCAAGTATCTCCACATTTGTTCCTCTTTCACTTCGAACGTTCCATTGACTTGATTCATGACGAGGAAGGAGTCATATTTGGCTTCGATCACTTCGGCCAAGAGTCTTTTGGCCAGTTCTAGACCTGCAATCATAGCTTCTACTCGTAATCATTTTTAGTCAATTTAACAGTTCTAATAGATTGTCTAATTACGTTGCCCGTGGGTGGTTTTAACACGATACCGAGCCCAAACCCTTTTGCGTTGGACGCATCGTCCGTGGATAGGGTCCAGATCCCCGAATTAGTCCCCGAGGCGAGCAACAATTCCCTTTCGATCTCGGGTATCAATGCTGGCATAAAGTGAACCACGAAGTCTGCCAAGATCTGAGATTTTATGGCAGTCTGGGGTCGGTACTCAATATCATACTCGCTGATCTCCACGACCCATTCGGCGAGCTACACTGAGAGATCAGGCTTATGCATGATATTCCTCAGCGGGTAAGAAGTTGCAACACATATGGGGTGGCATTGAAAGTGCGTTTTTAGTTTCCTGGAAGCACTTAGCAAGGCGAGTGCTAACTTTTCTAGGTGAGGATACCTTGTTTCAGCATCGCCTAGGGTTCTACTAACATAATAAACAAGAAATTGTATACTTTCTTCCTCCCAAACTAAGACACCACTTACCTCCACCTCGGAAACCGCCAAGTAGAGGTATAGTTGTTCACCTACCTTCAGAGTGTGCAACAAAGGGGGCTCGATAGGTATCACTTGAGTTCTTCCAAAGCTTGCTCGCATTTTGGAGTCCAAGAAAAGTCTTCTTTTTCAATAGCGAGAAGAACCGACGGCTCTTATCCGACAACCTCGAGATAAACCGGCCCAACGCGGCTATCCGCCCGGTCAGTCTTTAAACCACCTTGATGTTGTCATCTATGGTGATGGCCTTTATATTTTAGGGGTTGATCTCTATCCCCCGATTAGATACCATGAACCGGAGAAACTTGCTCGAACCGACCCTAAATGCACACTTCTCCGAGTTTAGCTTCATATTGTACTTCCTTAGCATGACGAAGGTTTCCTGCAAATGTTTCAAATGGTCCTCTGCTCGCAGGGACTTGACCAATATATTGTCAATATAAACTTCCATTGATTTTCCTTTTAGTTCTTCGAACATCCGGTTTACTAGGCGTTGATATGTGGCACCCACGCTCTTTATTCCGAACGACATTGCATTATTGCAGTAGGTGCCGAACTTTGTTATGAAAGAAGTCTTCTTTTGATCGTCCGGGTCCATTCAAATTTGGTTGTACCCGCAGTAGGCATCGAGAAAATTGAGTATCTTGTGCCCAGTCGTCGCTTTGATCATTCAATCGATGTTAGGAAAAGAGAAAGAATCCTTTGGGCATGCTTTGTTTAGATCTTTATAATCCACACACATCCTTACTTTATTTCCTCTTTTAGGTACTACCACTATGTTAGCTAACTAATCTGGGTATTTAACTTCCTGGATGGATCCTATTTTTAGAAGTTTGGATACCTCATCCTTGATGAACGCGTGTTTGATCTCAGACTGTGGCCTTCTCTTCTGCTTAACCGGATGGAACTTCGGATCCAAACTCAGCTTGTGGGTAGTTACCTCTAGTGGGATCCTTGTCATGTCAAGATGGGACCAAGCAAAATAGTCGGCGTTAGCTTTAAGAAAATCAATAAGTTTTTTCCTGAGTTCGGGGGTTAACCCCATGCCCAGGTATACCTTTCGATCTGGTAGATGCTCGACTAGTATAGCTTGATCCAACTATTCGACTGTTGATTTGGTGGCGTCGGTTTCATCGGGAGCTATGCATGATCTTGGGACACTGTAATCATCATCATCGTCCACTCTCTGTTCTTCCTGTTTCTCTAGTTTGACTGAGGCTGGTATCAGTGATTGCTATTTAATCTCTTCCTTTTGGGTCAGTGGCGCTCCTCAACGTCGAAACTATGGGCAACGGGATCACTCCATCGATAACAAACATTTCCCTTGCGGCCGACTGCTCTCCGTAGACCCTTTTAACTCCCCTCGGTGTGGGAAATTTCAGTGCCTGCTGTAAGGTCGAAGGTACCGCCCTCATGTTGTGGACCCATGGCCTTCCTAATAAAGCGTTGTAACTCATATCCCCTTCGATCACATAGATTGTCGTTTCTTGGATTGTCCCGACAGTGTTTACCGATAGAGTTATGTCTCTTTTCGTGGTCTCACATGCCATGTTAAATCCTTTAAATACCCCGATTGCCGGTACAATTTGATCCTTTAACCCTAATTGCTCTACGACCCTTGATCTGATGATGTTGGCCAAGCTACCTGAATCAATCAGCACATTGTTGTGAGGCTGTACAATGCCTTCGGCATCTTCATCGCTGAACGAAATGACTCCCTCCGGAACATAATCCCAGGTGCGTTTTTCCCTCGTAATAGACACTTTAGTGCACTTTATCATTGGGACTTGAAGGATTTTGAGTCCCCCAATGATCATGTTGATCACGTGCTGAGGCTCCTCTTTTTCAAGCTGTTAGTTGGAGTCCCTGTTTCTTAAGTGGTTTTTGGCTCGCTCACTTAGGAATTCTCGGAGGTGCCCATTATTGAACAATCGAGAAACTTCTTCTCCTAGCTGTTGGCAATCTTCGGTGTTATGACCGTGAGTGCCGTGATACTTACACATTAAATTAGGATCTCTCTGGGTTGGGTCGAACTTTAATGGTCGGGGCCACTTGGTCTCTTTGATGTGCCTATGGCTGACACGATGCTTGCAGCTTCTACGTTGAAGTTATACTATGATAATCTTGGTGCCTCCCTATTTTAGAGTGACATGTTGAACCCGTTCTTGCTCATCAATCCCCGGTCACTAGGCCCTCAATTGCTTCTCTTCTCATTTCTTACTGGGTAATTCCCGAATCTGTTTCCCCTCCAATCTGCGATGTATGGTTGATATCGATCCCGGACCGGTCTTGGCTTCTGATCAATGAGTCTTTTAGATGTATCATTGGTCATGACGGGATAAACAGATCCAGAAGGGTCCCCGAGTTGGCCGTCCTCGACCCTGATCTTCGACTGGTACCTATTGTGGACGTCGGCCCAGGTTACCACCAGATACTCCTCCAAATTTTGTTTTACTGTTGAGAGGCCACAAAACTTCGGGGGTTGAGCCCCTGAGTGAATACTTGAACGGCCTAATCATCTGCAATTGGTGGCAGGTCTATCCGCTCCATCTAGAATCTTGACACGAACTCCCTAAGCATCTCGTTATCCCTTTGTTTGACCTTGAAAAGATCTGACTTTCTAGTCTCGACCTTGATGGCTTCGGCATGGGCATTTACGAAATCATCTGCAAGCATAGCAAACGAGTCAATGGAATTTGAAGGCAAGTTGTGATACCATATCATCGCTCCCTTGGACAAAGTTTCCCTAAACTTTTTCAGCAACACCGACTCGATTTCATCATCTTCCAAATTGTTCACTTTGATCGCGCATGTATAGGAGGTTACATGCTCATTTGGATCTATGGTCCCATTATATTTGGGAATGTCGGGCATACGAAACCTCTTTGGAATCGGCTTCGGTCTCGCGCTCGGAGGAAAGGGCTTCTGGAAATTATTTTTGGAGTCCGGTCCCTTCAATATCGGGGGTTCCCCCGGGATCTGATCGACCTTGGAGTTGTATATTTCCATATTCTTGTCGTTGGCCTCAATCTTTTTCTCGCCTGACTCCACCCGTTTTGTCAACTTTTCGAGCATCTTCATTACCTCTGAAGTTACCCTGGGCTCGGCTTCCCCTGGTCTCTCTGTAATTTGTTCGTCTCTTCGAGTGCTTTCTTGAAATTGTTCAGGCTCGACCCTGAAGGGGGCGTCGCTTTGATTCTACAGTTGTACTATTGCCGCTTGTTGAGCTTGCAACATTTTGAAAATTAGTTTTAGGCTCACCCCATCACCATCACCTTCGGGCGCTTCTCGAGCTATTGGTCGGGGTCCCCCGCGAACACTCTTTTCGGGATCAGTTTGCAAATTGATGTTAATGGCCACCTACGAGTTAGCATCGACAGGGTCGGTGGCTGGGACACCGTTGGGATCGGTAGGAAGCACATCACTGTCGGGCACAACATTATTATTTTCACCATAATGGCCTGACTCAGCGTCAATGTTCAAGTTAGTGGATTTAGAGATTGGCATTTTTAGGCTGACCAGGAATTATAATTTCAAAGAACAAGTGTAAAGTAGGGTGTGTTATGGACATTCGTATTAATCACCATTATTATCCTTATCCCCGCGGTGGACGCCAAACTGTTTACCCCTAAAATGAGTAACAATTAAATTTGTACGCGGTTTAAAGGATGCGTGGTTTAATTCAATACGAATAATTAAGAATAACATATAGATGAATTAAAAATAAAATAAATGATCAAACCAATTGCAATGCAATGGCCAGTCCTAATCTTAGATAGAACAGTGGAATTCATCCTCGATCGGACCCTCGATGCAAGCTCGATCGTGAGTAAAGAAAGGAACGAACAAGTAAAGCCTTGAACAGTAGCTAGAAGACAAAAGATAAATTTTCTTATTGCTTTGAATTACGTGTTACAATGTGTCAGGCTAAAGAAAAACTTCCCCTTTATATAGAAGGAGAATTTCAGTCCTAATATAAGTCTAATAGAGGTAAAAATCTTTTTTTCCCGGTAATTGTTGACCCATAATCGATACTGAGTGAGATTCACGCCGTAATATCTGGTTGAGGGCGAGTATTACGGCCCCCAATCCATCATGCATAACCGTACACCGCGTCTCCCGAGGTCTAGAAGTTATATCTCGATCCAGGGTGCGTCTCTTTACCATGTCCGATGTCGGATATATCGTTCATTCTACCTGCGTCTCGATATGAAGGGTATCGCAGATCCGTGCTCCCCCTTCGTTCCCTTGTTGGGAAATCGGGCTAGATATTGCCCCCGATTTTACCCGTACACACAAATAATATATACTTCACTTAACTATAGATATAAAGGTGCAGAAAATGAATTAATTTCATTAGCTCGAATTGATAGACTCAGGGGCGGCCAGAGGCTCAAGCAACTAAAGCAATAGCTTTGGGCCCCAAAATTTCAGGGCCCCCTAAAATTTGGTTTTATTTTTATTTTCTAACCGTATTTGGTTTTTCACATTGAGACCCCGATTAATTTGAATTCGCTCGGCTTAATAAAAGTTAAAGCGCACACTAATAGGATATCATCCATATGGCTCAAACCCAAAATATCTAATTAAGGTAGGTTAGATCATATCCATCCCGGCATAATCCTTGGGAGTGGAACCCAACTTTTACCAATAATAGATTTATGAGTAAATTTTTTTAAAAATATATAGATTATTTCAAAGTAGAAATAGATTTCGGCCTTCGTACGTCTGATCGAGTTCGAAAGATAAACGATCGAAGTGAGACTTCGAGATGGGTTCCGAAGATGGTATAGACAAGTTTCGAACCCGAGGGGCCGATCAATGTCATGTTAGATATCATTATCAAGCTCGAATCCAAATCAAACTATGATGCAAAGTAAAGCTATCAAGATTATCATCCAGAGACCAACAAACATTGACTCCGAATCAATTCAAGGGTCCTAGTCAGAATCGAGATTAAGCCAAGATCGAGAGCTCGAGTCTGGATCGAGCTCAAGTCAAGATCGAGAGCTCGAGTCAAGATCAAGCTCACAGACAAAAGTTGTTGCAATCCTACTAGAGGAGAGAATCTTGGCAGGAATTGTGGAAAAGTTGATTTATCATGAACTTCCCACTAGGTATTTTTAATTATATTTAAAGTAAGATCCCTCTACTATAAAGGCGAAGGGTTATCATTTCTGTAAGGGTAGTTTTTATACATATCTCACATTGTAATTCAAGCACCATATCCTCTTATATTCAAGAGTTATTCTTTTAAGCCTAAAAATCTGACTCATCTTGCTTAGTCCTAAAAATCGTCTTCTTTACAACTTTGTTTATTTTACATTCTTTGCTAATCATATTTGATATTTCCTTTTATCCTTGTGATTTGTATTAAGCTATATCATATATCCTTAAAACTATGTATAAATTCAACTCTATCCATTTTTCAGGTAAACAGTTTGGCGCCCACCGTGGGGCTAAGGATAACAGTGGTTATTTGATATGAATCTGAAAAAACACGCCATTGTGTTTTGCGCTTGTTTCCGAAAATATCTTCAATTTTGGATTAGCTACGACTAACCACCAATCAAATGGCTTCACCAATCGACAACGGAGCCAGCCTTCAAGACGAAAACAACAACTTGACACCCAGTACCGAAAGACCACTTGTAAACGCTGTTGGAGCTCTAATCGGAGCGCCAATAGATATCAATTCGCATGTAGCCATTGAGGCGAACCTACATGCCGAACCCGAGAATAACATCCATGGTGGTACTTGGTCTGCTTCTCGAGATGCCCATAACGTCAAGGAAAATGACATTAGCTTGCGTATCATTTTCAAAATATTGCAAGCCCAACATGCAGCAATAGCTCAGTTGCAGAGCCAAACCCAGCTACAAAGAAGGCTGGAGCCCAATCCACCTCGAGAAATCACCCACAGAACGGGGCAAGCCATAGTGAAGTCAAAATGAGCAAGAACCGGGGACTACTCCCGAAATTGCTAAATTGCTCGAGGAACTCACAAAGCGAGTCAAAGCCAACGATAAAAAGTAGAAACTTATAACTCTAGGGTCGATCAGATCCCGGGAGCTCCACCAATGATACAAGGGTTGGATTCAAAAAAATTTGTGCAAAAGCCTTTTCTCTGGAGTGCAGCCCCGAAACCAATCCCTAAAATATTTCGTATGCCCGAAATTCCCAAATATAACGGAACGACCGATCCCAATGAGCACGTCACTTATTACACATGTTCCATCAAGGGCAATGATTTAGAAGACGATGAAATCGAATCTGTATTGTTAAAAAATTCAGAGAGACCCTCTCGAAGGGGGAAATGATTTGGTATCATAACCTACCACCAAATTACATTGACTCGTTCGCCATGTTAGCAGATTCTTTTGTTAAAGCACATGCCGGCTCCATAAAAGTCGCAACAAGGAAATCGGACCTCTTCAAGGTAAGACAAAAGGATAACGAGATGCTGAGGGAGTTTGTATCTCGTTTTCAAATGGAACGAATGGACTTGCCACTAGTCATAGACGATTAGGCTGTTCAGGCTTTCACTCAAGGTTTGAACAAACAAAGTTCGACGGCTTCACGGCGATTAAAGCATAACCTGATCGAATACCCAGCCATCACGTGGGCCGACATGCACAATCGGTACTAATAAAAAATTAGGGTCGAAGATGATCAATTGGGGTCTGAACCCACTGTTCAAAGGGGTACTAATCGAGAACGAGGTCTGACCGGGGATTGATACCAACCATACAACGGAAGCCACAGAGTCAGTGAATCGAGACATAACCTCGGGCAAAATAACAAAAGAAGTGATCGA